TGGTTTTTGGTGTTACTCTCATAATTTCATGAAAGAGAGGTTATAATTTTTTGATTTAGTGTTGGCTTTTATTGTTAGGGTTAGGGATTTAATGTTGTGGTTTTGTTGTTTCTTTTGATAAAGTTGGATGTTATGGTTTTGTTAATCGTATGAAATGATCAGATGTTGACTAGATTATTATTAAAATGGGTGTTAATTTTATGAAATTGGAAGTTTAGTTTACGATTGAACGTTAGGATTTCGAAATTCAATGTAGGTTATTTTGATTGAAATTGAGTGTTGTTTTCATAATTTCATGAAATAAGGTGTGTAGTGTTTTGATTGAATATTAGAGTTGTAAAATTGGATGTTAGGGATATTTTGATTGATATTGGGTGTTAATTTCATGAAATAAGTTTGTAGGGTTTTAGGATGATATGGTTTTGTTAATCTCATAAAATGAGATGTTGAGTTGATGATTATTGAGTGTCATTTTTATGAAATTTGTAGGTTTAATTTTATTTGTTGAACTGATGTAAAATAGTTGACAGTAAATATTTGAAGCAGGCAAACCGTTGCTTCTTCAATGCGCAACAAAAAACCAAAAAATAAATAGTATAGGTAAAATGGGTTAAACTTAGAACTCAGTAGGGCCAATGGTGTTTGATCTAGATCGAGCCAAAGATCAAAACTCATTGCTTCGCCATGAGCTTCTTTAATTTTGAGTCCAATTCCACTGTTTAGGCCTTCAAACCCCTTTTTTGGCATTTTATGAAAATTAGTAATAAATCATAGGAGGTTTCGAATTCAATGCCATTAGTTTGTTATATTCCAGACAACATGTGATTTTCTGTTAACTATTTAGATTACAATTTTCTATGTTTGATAAATTTTGTATAATTAAGAATTTTTTTTCCATTATGGGAACAATTAGAGTTTTTGTTATTCTTATATATATATATTGCCCTATGTAATACGAGTAATTGAGTGAGTAATATATCTTTTAAGAGCTTTCTCTTTCTTTCTTTGTGGGTTCAGAGTGTGTTCTTATCCTATACACTTAGAGACGGTGATCTCTTCTTGCTCCTTTGTTATCACTGCGTCACAAGTTTTGAACATTAAAAGTGCTAAGGATGTCCATATCCGTAGGGAGATCAATTACATAGGCATTGCCATTGATCATCCTCAAAATCTGAAAGGGGCCAATCTTCTTTTGGTTAAGCTTGTGGTTAGTCTTAATTGGTGATTCATAACATTGTCCCCAACTTTGAAAATCTTTAGTCGACGATGCTTATTTGCTTCCTCCAACTACTACCTCACTTCCTTATGCACATCAGTTAACTTCTCCAGCATGTGTTCAGCCACAATATTAATCCTTGGGAGCTTTGGCAATGGAACCAAATCGAGCATGTGTAAAGGTGCTCGAATATAGACAATATGGAAGAGAGATATGCCGGTGGATCTATTTGGCATGCTGTTGCAGGCAAACTCTGCTTGGGATGAAGTATTATCCCATTGTTTTGGATATTCCTTGTAGAGGCTTCGTAAGATGTTTTCCAGGGTTCAATTCAACACCACTGTCTATCCATCAGTTTGTGGGTGACTTGAACTGTTGTACCGTAACAAAGTGTCCAAATGTTTCTATAAAGTCTGCCATAATGGAAAAGGAACTTGATGTTACGTTCGAAAGTAATGGCCTTGGGAATACCATGCAAACAAAAAATCTCCTTAAAGAACAAGTGGGCAACACAAGAAGCATAAAAGCTTTTCCTTTATGGAACAAAAGTGTGCCATTTTTGAAAACTTTTCAACCACAACATATAGAATCTATACCACGTTGTGTTCGCGAAAGACCCAATACAAAAGTCCATGGACAGATCCTCTCACGGCACTTCTAGAATGGGCTGTGGAATGTAGAGTCTGCTATTTTGTGGTTGTCCTTTAGCATTCTAACATGTGTAGCACTACTTAACAAACCTCTCCATACCTCGCTTAAGCTAGGGCCAAAAATAGCATTCTTCCACTAAAGAAACACTCTTATTTCAGCCCATGTGTCCCCTTAATCCACCACTGTGAAGCTCCTGCATGATATGGTCAAGTAAGGACCCTTGGGGAATGAAAAGTTGGGTGGCTATGAACAATAAGCCCTCATGGAGGTGAAAATCCACCGAAACGTCATGTGTATTCGAGCATTGGGTCCAAATCTATTAGAAATCCTCATCCCCTACATATAACCCCTTCAAAAAATCAAATCTAATCACCTCATTACGAACATTGGTCCGCAACATAGTACGTTAATTCAATGCATCTTCCACCTTATTTAATTGGTTTGACTTATGTTTCAGGGTAAAGGTGAATTTCTGCTACTCACCTTGCACACATATGATTAGGAGTAGTATAACTATTAAGGTAATTCATTGCTTGATGGTTAGTGCTTAGAATGAATGCTCTCTAAATCAGATAAGGTTGCGAGTGTTGTAAAGCTTTAACAACTGCATAGAACTTTTGTTCGTAAGTAGACCACTTCTGCCTGAAAGCAATCTATAATAAATGCAGTAAAATTAAAAAAAAATAATAATTTGATGCCTTATACCACAATCAATTCATGTTTAATACAAACAATCTTGAAGCATGCTTCGGGGTAAAGATCAAATTTAGATTTGAAGGTCCAAAGTTTTTGAGAATGCTTGAAGATCATTAAAAGCATGCTTCAAGATTGTTAAAGACTATAATCCTAGTTTGGGTTAACTTGTAATTATCTCATAATTACATATAACCCATTTATTAACTATTCATTGTAACAAAGTCCCTAAACTCTTAATTAGGTTTTCACCCCAATTAACTCTTAATTGGTTGTCTCTCCCTTATCCTTTAGTTTCCAATTAATTCTATTGTGTGTGACCCTATATGTTCAAGCATACCCGGTTGTAGGCATTCGATACTAACTATAAGTAGCATCTCAAATTTGAATTCTTTCTAATTTAGCTTAAATTAGAACTCTTCTAATTCTTCCTTTATGAAGAACAATTAATATATCTATATTAATTTCATCCTTCAGGCTTCTAGTAATCATGAGTGACACCTAGCAACATATCATGATCAACCTCCAGATAGCACGGAGTAGTTAAAGAACCCATTCAATCTACAGTTACCATGAAATTCAATCCTTCTATCATATAATGCCCCAATTGAATTACAGGGTATGAAATTATTGTAAAACTCCTAACTCAATCTTATGTGTTCAATCTTAGGACTATGACTCTTAATGATCAATTAGCAATTCTTTTCTAATTGTCATTCTGCCTTGGCCAAGGACTCCTTGAGTCATATCCCAAAAGATCCATAGGACATTCTCCCTTTAATTACTAAGGGTGATAGATTCTATGTTGTACACTCATAAGTCTCCATGCATGTCTAACTATGTCTAATAATACATATCTAAATTACATGGTTAGTATATGAATATGTTGTATAGTTAAAGCATAGAATTTCATGTACAAGATAACCATGGTGTATCAAATCTAAGTATCAATTGCATAACTATAACTTCAGGATTTAACATTGACAGGTATGTAAAACTTCATATGAAAAATCCTTTAGTCAATGGTCACGTTGAGTGTACTTGTTCTCTAACAAGCACCTACACGTCTGTTTCAGTGTCTCTACACTAGTGACTTGGACGAGTCACCTCATCAAATATATCAAACATACTGTGTGCTAGTCTATTCGAATTACGTAGTGCCCACATAGTAATCCTATGACTAGGAACATTTAAAAGTTAAGTACTAAGAAGTATTGGTCTCCTCATCTCAACTCATTAAGAAACTATATTTTTAACTTATACTCTATGGACTATATTATGTATATTAATATGAAATAAATCAGAATCATGATAAATAAACTTTTCATTTTATTTAATTAAGTAATGAATGTTGCAAGTACAACCCCAAAACATCATATATATGATTGGTTTTAGAGCATACTACTAACACTGCCTAGGCTCGCTAAGTTTCTTACTAAAGAAAAAAAAAATTTCACTAAAGAATTCTATAGGTAGGCTTTCCTGTGACAAAACTTCTCAAATGCTAGTGCAAGAAGTGATGATGCACAAATTGGGTTTGCACACCACCTGTCAAGTGATCAGTAATAAACGTAGTAGTAAAGTAGTGAGAGATGGAAACACAAGAAAGACAAGGATTTATAGTGGTTTGGTCAATGTGACCTACGTCCACTTTAAATGGCTGTGGTCGCCAGAGTATTGTGTTACTTCAAGAGTGTAGTGAGAGTAGGGAGATACAAGAGTTACAAAGATGTGCTCGATTGAATGTGATGCCCCCAAAGTGTTGGCAGGGCTTACAATTTATAGTCACCTCCTAATAGATTGATGTGACTTATTAGTAACTAAGTAACTAATCTGGTGGAGTTGGCACCCTCTTCTTAATAGATGAGGCAGTTACGACACTCCTCATAAGATTCGGTCAAAAGATGACATGGAGTTTGACTCTTTCCAAGGCGGTGTGGATGAGACTCTTGATAACCCTGCTTACTCCCTTGGGGATGTATCTCCTCAAACTCTAATGAGCTTGATTGGGAGTGGACCCCTTTGGGCTAGACTTTATTGGATCCCTCTATGTTGGGCTCTTGATTTAAACTAAGCTTTCAAGATGAATTGGGCCATTGGACCTGGTCCATCATTTGCCCCCCAGTACCCTGTGTCCAATGAAACTTGGAGGAGGGGCATTTGGTTGAACCTCAAATTTTGGTTGGTGGAGACTCCTTTTGACTGATGATTATTCCTCTTCGTGATATATCTCTCCTCTAAAGAACACCTCAAGACCTTCCCCATTTTTATTTGGATTCTAGAAGAACCCTTGGACTTTTCCTCTTTTTACATTCCTTAATAGGATTATACAAAACCCTAGGCTATAAATAGAGAGTTTCTTCTTCATTCCATAGAAGGGACTTTTTGCAAGATTCTTCAAAGCAAAATCAAGAGGTGACCTTTGAGTGGAGTATTTTAGAGAACCATGTTGATCGAAAGAGAAGATGTGCCAATACCCATCGATCTTGAAGAGATTGGAGTTGTCCCAAGGGAGGAAATGGTGATGGGAGGCGCCGGTCTGAGCTCATGCAAGGGAAGCAACAGCTGGGTGCTTAGTGTTGGGTGTCGAGGGGCTGGAGATAGGCACCGATTTGAGTAGTTTGGGCGAGCAGGTTGCTCACATAAGTGAGACTACAACTGGGTATGCAATGCTGGGCATCGATCTAGGTGGTTTGGGCGAATAGGCTCACACAAGGGAGAAGTTGGAGTTGGAAGAGGTGGGCACCAGTTTGGGCGAGCAGGCTACTCATATAAGGGCGCCACTAGCCAAACATCCCACATGCTGGGCGCTGCTTGCTTGGCATCCCACGTGTTGGGTGCCGTTGGCCAAACGTCCTAGGCACTATGGTTGGGCCGATCTGGGTGCTCAATGAGTAGCTATTGGCAGCTGGCGAGACGTAACTGGCAACCAGCATTTTTGGTGGTGATAATTCTGGTAATGTGGTAGATGCTCTAGCTCATTCAGCTGGAACTTCTCTAAGTCAAATTCCTCGAGGCCTTCCTAGTAGTGGCTCGAGAAACCCTTCACGCGCTCACAACAAAAAGCACCGAGGAAAGGTAGCTCTTGACGATGATGGATCCAAAGTAAGTACCATTTCTAGCACACTCAATATTGATGCTGATATTCTGTGGATCATTTATACTTATAACATTCCTTCTACGGTACTATGTTGTCGAGCCGAGATATGTTAGCCTACTTGTGATGACTCATCTGAAGACATTACTATTTATGAGGAGATGCTTGAGGTTGGGCTTAGGTTCCCAATGCCTTATTCTTTTTTTCGTATTTTGTATAACTTTTCACTGACACTAGGCAGTTAGCGCCTAATGGTTGGAGAGTTTTGCTAGGTTTTCTGGCATTGTGGAGGAAGGTGCATCATGAGGATGCCTCTCCTGATGATTTTTATACTACTTATACTTTGAATGAGACTTCTGCTCCTAATCGAGGCTGGTACTATTTTACTACAAGAGGCGGTAAGTTGATTACCGGATTACGCTCCAATTATCATAGCTGGAAGTCTCGCTTCTTGTTCGTCGGTGGAGAGTGGGCTTCTGAGGCTAATAGGGCTTCGGTACTAACAGGATAGGGTGCTCCTAAGAAAGTTGGTACGCCCTATACTTACCCTTCTCTCTTTCGCCCCCCCTTTTTTTTAACTGTGTACTCATCGCACTCCTTACAGGTTCTCCTGTGCTCTCGAAAGACCAAGAATGAAAGTTGCAGGCTATGAAGGCTTATCCCTATAAGAGATTTTGGAGTTCTTATGCTCAAAGATGGTGGAGCCAGTGGTTCCCCTACAGGTGGTGCTAGGGCTGGTGCACCCCTCCGAGATCTGGCGGTCCCTCCTTGAAGAGAAAAGGTACATTAATTCTCTTGTACTTTCCTCCTTTACTTGGTTTTTTCATCTAGGTAACATTTTACCTCTTTTGTAGTGGATAAAATGGTGGTTGAGTCCCATTATTCCAGCAAGAACACTCCTCCTCCTAAGGTGGCGAGGATGAGCGAAGCTTTGGTGAGCTTCTCTCAAGTGATTCCTCCAGTGGTGCCTCCTCGGTCAGCGACTCCTTCAGATTTGACTGCTACTTCGGAGACTTCGTTGTCGACCACACCTCCTGCCCCTCATTCATTGACTCCTCCTGTGGAAACTTCTACAAGGGCACCTACTCAGATTGGCTCCATGTTTGGTAACGTGTGAGTCATCAAGGATTGACTTGGGAGATTTATGTTTCTGCTCGACGTTAATGAGATTAGTGTTTTGGGAACCAAGGGAATCATCAACACTTTTCTGGAAAGCCTGAATCAGGTGAAGGTCTGTTGTCTCCCTTTCTCCAATCCCTCCTTATACATTTGATATTCGTTTACCTTTTGTCTTTTTCAGGTTTCAACTGCATTTGTATGCTTGTTTTCAAGGGCCTATTATTACAGCCAACTGAAGCATAGTTATAAGGCTGTAAAAAAGGAGCTTCTCGCTACTCAGGGGAGAATTGCTGAGCTTGACGCTGATGGTAGGGCTTCTCAGGTTGAACTTGTGGCTACCTATGAGAGGGTCGTGCTCAGAGAGACTGCTTTGCACGAGGGCTGAAGCAAAGTTTTTGGTGATCCGTGAGAGGGTGGCTAAGCTTAAGGCTGAGCTTTTGGTGACTCGTGAGAGGGATGCGCTCAGGGAGGCTGAGCTTGTGGAGACCCGCGAGAAGGCCATAATTAGAAAGGCTGTCTACTTGAGAGTAGAGGCAGAGACAAGGGTAGCTTACAAGAGAGCTTCTTAGGCTGAGACAGATCTGTTGTTGGCTCGTGAAAGGGCCATCAAGGCTGACAATGATTTGAAGAGTGGCCTTACAGATGCCTTTATTGATGGTTATGAGGAGCTTTGGAAAAAGATTTCTGCTGTTTTCCCTGATATCGATATTTTCAGGCTTTGTGCCATATGAGGCGTATGATGATAGTGATGTAGGCTTTGATGGTGATAGTGATGCCGAGGAGGAGGATGACGATGACCAAAAGAGTAGTTAGACTGCTGCGGATTTTCGATTTTTTTTTTTTTTTTTTAGAAAGGTAGTTTGTAGCCTCACTTTTGTAAAAATGATTTTTTTGCCACTAATATTTTTTTGAAATAAAATGCAAAGAACTTTTGAAGTCAACTTAGAAAATTTTATTCATTCACTGCTTATGTCAAGCAATAGTGGGTAATAACCCCAAAAAAGATACAAAAAATAAAATCAAATATCCCAACTTTAGTGTTTCTACTCTCCTAAGGTGTCATTGGTAGTAACTCTTCAAGTGCTCAACGTTCTACAGATAGGGTAAAACCTTCCCCTCAGAATTTTGGATCTTGTAGGTGCCTGGCCTCACCACTTCTGTTATGAGATAGGGTCCTTCCCATTTTGGTCCTAGCTTTCCTTCTCACGAATCCTTTGTGGTGAGAATCAGTTTCTTGAGGACCAAGTCTCCTAGTTGGAAGAAATGAGGCTTCACCCTCAAGTTGTAGTATCTTTCCATGCAGCTCTTGTACTCCGCATTGTAGACCACAACTATCTCCCTTGCCTTCTCCACCAAGTTGAGATTGATGCGGAGTCCTTCCTTATTGCTTGACAAATTTCCTTATTGTTTCCTAACCTATAAACATCACCTTTTAGCATGTATAGTATATGAATAAAGGGGAGTGTCACTCTCCTAGGAATGATGTCAAAAGAAAGGGCAACATAATGATGGATGAATGAGATTTCAAATGTGAGTATGTGTGAACAAAAGTGCTCCCCAGGCGCAAAGAGACTTTCGCGGATCCTGTTTTACTTGGTGGTATTCCAAGGTCGTTTCAACGGGCAAGGAAGTAAACTGAGGGGAGGTGATTTTGGGAGAAAGAAAGTGTAAAATCTTTGATTGTTGGAAGTTGTTTGGTGAAGTTGTTTTGATGCTAGTAAAATGAGAAACAAATGTTGGCAAATCCAAGAGGCCACTCCAATAGGAATACCGTCTCAACTCGAAACCCTCCTCCAATAGAGCATTAATGAACGATTGACTCGTGGGAAGCTAGGGGTAAGATTGGTGAGTATCTAAGCATAACCGTGACTAGGCCTATGGAATATCAAAGACTCACCAAGTTATCCACCCTCAACCCAGTCAAACCGAATCATTGAACTCTGAAAGAGGGGAGGAGAATGAGTTGAAATGGTATACCCAAGTGGAGGTTCCTCTTGGTTTTGCCAACTAAGAGATTTAGCTATTCATGCTTAAAATAAAGACAACAATATGATGAGAAGACATTATGAAAAAATAAAGACTAAAGCTAAGCATAAACAAATTGCATAAATTTAACTTCCGGATAACCACCTCTTAGTAAAGATTGGATGAGAAACTACTCACTCTTCATGGATTTGTTAAAACTAGAAAAGTGAGTGATGCTCATCCCTCCAAGTAGAGGAGTTACAAGGTAACACATTTTACACAAGGAGCCGATCTTCGACAAAGAATGAGTGAATCACGTTCCACCCTTCACGGCTTTGGTAAAGCTCTAGAAAAGTGGAAGAGTTTCACTCTTCTAAGGGAAGAAGGAAGCTCAAGCAATGGAAGTAAAAGAAAGCAATAACACAATAAAAGAAAGCAATACTTAAAGTAAAAGAAAGCAATAAATTAAAAGGAAGCAAGAATACAATAAAAGAAAGCAATACTTAAAGAAAGCTATAAGCAATAAGGAAAGCAATAATACTTTTGGAGGGTTTTCCACTACCAAAAGATGAATGCTTTACAAGTCCTAAGGGGTGGTATTTATAGGCAACAAGGGAGGGTGAAAGTCTTGTTAGGTGGCCTTGAATCTTGTTAGGTGGACTTGAAGAGTCTTGTTAGGTGACTTTGAATCTTGTTAGGTGGACTTGAAAATCTTGTTAGGTGGCCTTGAATTCTTTGATCCCCCTTTGTTTTGAGCTTTGATAATTGGCACCCCAGTAGTTTGTAGCTTTAATGCAATTGGCTCCCCAGTAGTTTGTAGCTTTGACGCACAAAATCCTGAAAAGAACAACAATTAATGCATTATCCTTTATTCACACACTAATTCTAATTTGATTTATTTTGACTAGTTTAACTTTATTCAACTAACACAATTTACCTATTAAATTATGCCTTAATTAGGGTTAATTACACCCCCCAACCTAAATATTACTAGTCCCTAGTAATAAACAACATAACAAAATAAAATCACTTTCGTAGATAACACGATTGCATTTAGCATATGCAATAAGCCGTTAAATCCCTAGGTGATCCCTAGTGGACGAGTTTTGTCTCGTGAAGGTTTTCAATGAAGCTACCTACAAACTCCAATTAAAACATGTCTATATGTAAGATTTCTTGTCAAAATGAGTTACCAACAGAATCATTGAGGCACACATCTCTTAATTTTGAATTATTTTTCGAACACTTCTCTGTCATTGGTACGTACTCTATACAAAAATAAACACTTGTTACATTGGTATTTGGAATTCCTTGTGTAGTAGGAATGATCATTCTAGTAGCAAGAATTGTTATATAACAAACATTCTACTTTATCACCTTCCATGGATAGCTTTGATTTCTCAAATCTCTCTTAGAATGTTCTCAGCAAAAAATTCACT